CAAAAGTCTTCTCTCACAGCTCATCTTCCATTCTTATTCTGAGCTTGCAACGAGCACACTGCTGAACCTTACAGTATAGACCATGCCAATTTCTAGGCTAGTGGTTCTCAATCTGTTTCAGGAGATTCATGGAGATGCTTCTGTCACGATGCCAAAATGTTCATTGCTCTCGAAGAGGTAATGCTTCTAAATTTGAGCCAGCTGAGAATTCTTTGGGGGGGGGGGGGTATCCAGAGCCATTTTTCACTACCTAAACTGAAAAAAACAACAATCTCCTTTCTGCCTGTCGGCTTGCCAGCTTTTGTCAGATACTTCTTTGGTGAATAATGAATGGTAAACAGATCTGCAAACATTTAGGCACTGATTCAGCAAAGTACTTAAGCATATGCCTGACTTAAAGCACAATTATTCCCGTTACATCAATGGTACCATAGAAGGTACCAGACCCTCAGGATGCAAAACCAAGCTGCAAAGTAGTCTGAGGATATTAAAGTAATAGGAGCTGCAGGGAAGAGGGGCTATTCAGAACAAATGCATGTAATTCCCCTCAACAGAGAAGAAACTAATGGTAGATAAAAGAAAGAAGGGGTGGAATACAACTAAACAGCTGCACTCGTATTCTTAGCTTGTTTCCTTAATACTGTCTTAATAGGTTTTCATGCCATCAATCAGTAAGATTGGACGGCGTGGCATCAAGGCTAGAGGGGGAAATGAGTTAATATGAAGCCTGCTATCTTAACAAACAGTTCACAACTGTAGGAGACCTTCTGTTCTAAATGGTCATTTAATACAGGGAAAATAAATAGCTACAGCTCCATTTAACCGTCCATTGCCAGCTAGTGCCTGCTAAACCAACTGGCCACAATTTCTGTATATAACGAGCATGGAGTGTGGACTTCAGTGGTGGTTAAAGTTAGAGGCTGCTGAATGAGAGAGAGAGAGAAAATTGGTTTTAAGTTGGGAGGGCGGAGTGTTTAACTGCTACCACACCAGGGCGTTGCACTGATTTAGCTCAACCATTTTTTCTACCAAGTTAGTTAAATCTGAAGAAGCTCAGGTTAGACCAGGGGCAGGCAAACTTTTTGGCGTCAGCACCACATCGGGTTTCCGAAATTGTATGTGGCCCGACCGCCCCCGCTTCTCGCCCTCTGACAGTCGTCCCCCCCCCCCCCCAGGACTCCTGCCCCATTCCCACACCCACCCTGCTCCCTGTCCCCTGACTGCCCCCACCGCCACTGCATCCAACCCCTCCTCTCATTCTTGACTGCCCCCCTGGGACCCCTGCCCCATCCAACCACCCCTTCTCCCTGTCTGCCCCCGGAACCCCTGCCCCTGACTGCCCGCCCCCCACCACCCCATTCAACGCCCCCATCCTTCCTGACTGCCCCCCCAGGACCCCTGCTCCCATTCAACCCCCCTGTTTCCCGCCTTCTGACTGCCCCAACCCCTATCCACACCCCCACCCCCCCCGCCCCCTGCCCTCTCACCATGCTGCCTGGAACACCGGTGGCTGGCGGCGCTACAGCTGCACCACCCAGAGCACCAGGACAGGCAGCCATGCCGCCCAGCTGAAGCCAGCCACGCACCGCGCAGCACAGAGCGCCGGGTCAGGCCACGGCTCTGCAGCTGCGCTGCTGCCCAGAGCATTGCGCCGGTGGCACAGTGAGCTGAGGCTGCGGGGGAGGGGGAACAGTAGGGGAGGGGCCGGGGGCTAGCCTCCCGGGCCAGGAGCTCAGGGGCCAGGCAGGAGGGTCCAGTGGGCTGGATGTGGCCTGTGGGCCGTAGTTTGCCCACCCCTGGGTTAGACAAATCCTAAGAGCTAGCCCCAAAATTTCTTGAACCACAGCTGAACTACAGTATCAATCAAGGTCAGGAGAGGTGTGAAATGCCTGTACGGCCCTACGTACATTGTCCATAACTGCAAAATGTGCCACTGTGACTTCTCACTAGAAATCATTTATATCGGTCTTTAAATATCTACTGAAATCCAAAGTTATTCTGATTTGCCATCCATTTAGACTATGAACTAAATGACAGAATTTTAGTGCTATTAAAATGGCCATAGACTACAGTTCTTGTTTACAAGGGATAGGATATACATGTGGTGCGGCAGTTGGTAGAATGGGTATTGTGCCGATGAGAGCGTAACAATGTTGAAAGTGTTCCAAACATTATTTAATCGGAGAATTAAAAGTTTAGCAAAATGAAACCTTTACTAAGCATAATGAACAGGTTAATAAAAAGAAACCTGTCTGGTGGTTTGACTCCAAAGCGAGATGCTTGGGCATGTGAAAGTGCCAATTAACCAAGAATACGATGACTCTTGTGAACAGTATGTTCAACCCCATCCAAAGAAAACGCCCATGACTGCAACTCAAGGAATCAGAGGTACAGGAACTCTCCAGCTTGAGCTGCGAAATCTTACCTAGAGGAATTTACAACACGTGGTTAAAGTCATCTGATCCGCAGAGCGTCTGATGTTTATCGAGCTGAGTAGAGAAGTCTCTGAAATCACTTACAAACCCTGAATCTGTCATGTGGCACACTAGGACACCACCAAAGTCACCCCATGCTGTTTATGTGGCCAGTTACAATAATAAATAGCTAAAATGGGAGGAGAGAGGGCAAATATAATTACAGTAAAAGATGTTTTATCCGGCACTTCACCAACCGGAAAGCTCTATAACCTGGCATTTCTGATCTTCATTGAAATTCCAGTTTATAGTCTGGTTGGTGCAGGGCTGACAGGGGGTTGGAGTGCGGGATGGGATGTGGGCTCTGGGAGGAAGTTTGGGTGCAGGAAGGGGCTCGGGGCAGCAGATAGGGGCGCAGGAGGGGATGTGGGGTGCTGGATTCGGGGGCTGCTCACCTTGGGTGGCTCCCCACAAGTGGTGACCTGTCCCAGCTGCTCCTATGCGGCTCTCTGCACTACCCCCGCCCCGAGTGCCAGCTCTGCAGCCCCCATTGACTGGGAACTGTGGCCAATGGGAGCTATGAGGGGGGCACCTGCGGGCAGAGGCAGTGCGCAGAGCCACCTGCCATGCCTCCGCCTAGGAGCAGCCGGGACAGGTCTCCACTTGTGGGGAGCTGCCCAAGGTGAGAGCCTCCCGGATCTCGCACCCTGCACCCCCAACTGCTGCCCCGAGGCCCCTCCCACATCCAAACTCCCTCCCACAGCCCACGCCCCGCACGCCCTCCCGCACCTCAGCCCCCAGCCTCGCACCCCCTCCAGCACCCAAACTCCCTCCCTCTTAGTTAACTGGCATTTTTCACTTACCAGCACTCCCCATTTCCCCAACATGCCAGATAAAACAGCTTTTACTGTAGTTGGCAGCTTCACTTTCTTTAGGAGTAAGCTAGTGGCCTCCACAGAAATTATTTTTGTTTTGTCCAAATTTGCCAGAGTCCCTCTAGCTCTGGGTCTGAAATGTTCAGTATATCAGTGTCTAAAAGACACGGAAGGACACAGCAGTTTCCCTCATTAATACTGTGCTATATGGAGGACTTGTCCAACACACATAAACATACTTTCAATTCTGGGACATTACTGGAAGCAATACAAGAAGGGATAAATTCAGCATCTGAGCCCTGAGCTGGGGAAGAAATCCTGGCTGTATGCGCACTTGGGGTTGTTAGATCAGACTTATGAAGAGTGAAGTATGGCAATTTACTCTGACCTATGCTTTATTTTCTCAGGCTAGCTGCTCTTTTTCTCCTCAAGCCTTACAGTCATGGTTTTACTAGTGATTTTGGGAAGCTCAGAATTTATATTCCACAGTGCCCAGCAGTGTTCCTAGGAGCTGTGGTACTGGCTAATTTTCTAATGCCAGTAACTACTTTGTGGGATTAAATTAAAATGAATTTGAGAAACTAATGGTTGACATCCCATCCACAATCAAAATAAATCACTGTAGATTAAAGCAGTTAAAACTGATCTGAGCTCAAGACCCCATTCCACACACAGCAACAATCTAGCGTGACCAAGGTTTGTAAAACAGTTGGGATGGCTGTTTTACGGATGCAAGGTATTGTATAGGCATAGTCCATGCCATGAACTTTGCAGCAAGTTTGACCTAAATTCTGTGGCAAGGGGCTTGGAGTCCACAGCTCTTCAGTGAAGCAGAACGGAAATTCAGATCAGTTTAAAAATCGGTATTTTACTAAATTGAATATGCAAATGAATAATACAATCAGTACAGTATCCCTTATGTTACCTGAATTGATACTAAATGTAAGTAACCTTATGATTCCCCAAAATTTTACATTGTCAATGTGCTGCAGAACTTCATATTGAAAATGCATAACTGCACTGTATAATTTGTTTTGTTGAGGGAAGCCAGTAATTTTGGGATACCAGTATCTTTTGGCATGGGAGGCAGTTTGGAACTGTGGGATGAATACATAAACTGGATGTTCCTGCTAAAATGATCAGCCATTAAATATTTAATGTTAACATTTTAATGTCCATCATTAGGTTTCAAAGTCAACAGATCCCCTAAGATGAATTGCGCAGTTCAGACCTCCTTTAGAGTAATTGTTTCCAGTATTTGCAGACTCCGGCAGATCTCACTGAGAACTAGGTTTTATTGGGACTTAATTTTTAAAATGACAGCTAAGATTCTAGTGAACACTTTGTGCAGCACACAAGGCCCTAGGAACAGGCATTGTGAGTTCATGGCATTCAAATGATTTGTTATGATGAATTTCCTCATGCTCACAGGGCCCCAGAAACAAGGAAATTTAAATTAAAATGTAATAATCAGCAAGACGTAATTTTCACTTTGTTGTTTTTGCCACTCTTCTGATTTTAAATTCTCAAATATTTGTTACTGTAATGCAGTAGCTGGGAATGGTCTCTCCTCCACTTAGACACAAGTGGCACAGATCCATACAAACAATCCACTCTTCCACACACTTCACAGCCACTTATACAAGTCTCTTTCCACCCACCGATATACATACATAACCATGGACAAAAGAGTATGTATTGGCTTCAGCTGTTTAATTAATTGTCAAATTTATTAGGGTTCTGGATTTTTACAGCCAACATACTTCTCTCCCAAACAAACATACTTCAATAAAAACATGACAGAATGCACAGAGAGAAGGTATGGATTGGCCAGCTCTGACTAAATGGACTGTGCAGTCCTTGCAAAGACTGCAATGAGAGATCTCCAAATCCAGTGCTGAAGAGCAGTCACAATCAGTTCAGCCCAGGACTGCAGTAGGGCTCCATTTTACACACCAGGCCTAGAGAAAAGCTCAACTTAATGCACCCCAAGAAAAGTCCAGCTAGTTATGACAATGCTCACTACCTTGTAGGAGCTTCACTTCCATATATGTCCTTTGACTTCTCTGACCTCATTATTTAATGGACATGGAGCTTTTTCCTATTGTAACTCCACAGGACAGGTGCCAGGCCGGTCAGTATTGACTACCTGCAGGGATCACGGAGTTCCTTACAAGGCAATATCTCCATAATAGACTTATACTGGCCCTCCTTCAGGAAGAGAGTTGTGGACCAGTTTGTGTGTGTGGGGGGGGGGGGGGCTGGGAGCAATCTCTCTAGGATAACTGAACAGTTCTTGTTCTAGTGACAGGCAAAGAATGGTGACCACAATCATAGAGCCCTAAACACTAAGATTTGTCCACTTTATGTGTGCGCTCATGCCTCCTTAGAGTGCCTGACTCTGTGAAGGAATGACCGCAGTAAGCACAAGAGTAGGGTTTTTCTCCAGTATGGATCCGCTGATGGCGCTGTAGTGATGCCAGTCTTGTGAAGGTCCCTCCGCACTCTTCACAATAGAAAGGGCGCTCTCCAGAGTGAGTCTGTTGGTGCCGTTTCAACCTCAGTAGTTGGACAAAGGCCATACCACATTCTTGACATTTATATGGTTTGTCCTCTCGATGGATCACTTTGTGTTTCGACAGCAGATTAGGTTTACGGAAACCTTTGCCACACATTGGACAAATGTAAGGTTTAGACTCTTCTTCCCCAGGCTTTTTATTTTCTGAACACTGCTGGTCAGTGTTTCCACTGCCATGCTTGTTTTGGTGCAATATTGACCATGGGTTCCTAACCATGCCATTTCCCAAAACTACCTTGGAGCGCTCAATTTTGTGCACATTGCGTAGGTGCCTCCAGACATCAGCCGTGCGGATGAAACCCTTGTCACACTCTGGACACTTGTGTGGCCTGTCACTAGAATGAATGAGCTTGTGCATTCGCAAGTTTGCAGCACGGAAGAACTCTTTGCCACAGATGGGGCATTGGTATGAATGCTCTGTCAGATGGATATGTTTGTGTTCTTGTAATTCACCCAGATCCTGGAAAGAGACACCACACTTCTTGCACCTATAAGGCAAAGCTTCTCCAGAGATGGGCTCCAGGTCCTCCTCATCAAAAGCATCAACAAGAATGATGTTTTCATCATCCTCACTTAATCCTCCCTGAGGTTCCTCAGAGGAGTAGAACTCCAGATCCTCATCTTCACATTGAAGGTCAAAGTTGGTGTTGGAAGTGACAAAGACCCCAGCTGTAGTCTCACCTCGCTTCTGGTAGTAGGTCTCATAGGTTTCCTCATCTTCACACTGCAATTCTACAGGGAGTTCTTGCTTACCTGAAGGTCCAGCAGGGCTACAACCAGGACTGCATGGTTGAGAGTAGTCTATGTCTACCTCCAACTGGAGACTAGATTTGCGACCCACCCGCTCAGAGGAATGACTGGAGTCATCTGAATGCTCCTCACCTGTGTCATAAGTGTCGTTATCGGACTCCCAGTCCACCTCGTCCATCCTGTGGTGTCATATATGGAGAGTGTATATGGCTTACTGTGGATGTAAGTATACCATGTTCTTATAGTCCTTCATGATTGGTTCATCTCGTTCTCAACTCCAATCACAGCCCTTCCGAGAAAAAACAGGTGATGATTTCATTAGCCAACTCGCCAACATTCATATTAAGTAAAACGAAACAACCACAACAGAGATCTTTTTCTGGTGAACAGAATAATACTGAGACTTTGTACATTAGTTTCACTGTAGGAGACACTGGGTAGTTTACTATGATCATCAAATGGAACATTTCTATATCTCCATAAAATTAAATCCTCTATTTTAATTGGATCCTTTTGGCAAATCTGAATAATTAAGGTAACAGCTACTCGTTTCTCTAGTCTTAAAAAAAAAACATTAAGAATTTCTACAATTTCTGTTTTAGAATTTAATAATGTGGATGCATCCACTTCACATATTTGGTGATCAGAGATTTGGTTTTGAGTTTTCCCTTGTTTTGTAATATGATTTAAAAACTATTCCCACACTTCTTTGAACCCTTCTACATCTATTCTACTCTTCTCCACAATATGTATATCATTATAAGATGGGACTTGTTAGATCTGAAATTCATTTTCCCTGGTAAACATTGATCCTGACAAACTTTTCCACACAAATAAACCACATGCCCTTTTCATATTAAATGCTCAGTAATGACCAACAGCCTGCCAGGCTACATAACAGAAGCAGCAAGAACATTTTATCATCTATTTTTGATGTTGTTGTTCTTGGGCCACTCCAAAACATTACTGTACTCTAATTGCTTTCTACTTTTCTAGTCAAGATCATTGTCTCCTTGCTTCTAGCTAGCTGAAGTCCTTCTGGGGTCTAGTACAATTTATAAAATATTTTAAATTGCATCTCTTCAATATTTAAATCCCTGCCAGCCATGTTGCTTCTTTTATGTTATTTGGCCTATTTCTGTGTCAGCCATCTAAAGTTTCCACATCAGATAGCCCTAGCCAATCCTGAGAGAACAGCAAACATTCTTCTTCCTTTAAACATGGGCGGGACTGAGATATTCAAACTTATTCACTTAACTCCCAGGACAGACTCCCTTCACTACACAGGGCTTTATCAGAAGATTCATATTAAGTGTTCTCTTTGCATTGCTAGAGATATATCATTATGTATGAGTGACCACCAGGCACTTTATTTCCCTGTGCCCCGAATCTGCTCCCCGGCAGGAGCGCCAGGCAAGCCTCCACTCCCTGGCAGGAGTGCTAGGATGGGGAAGCCCCCATGCCCCAACCCCATTTCCCAGCAGGAGCACTAGAGGGGTGGGGATTTGGGGGGGGGGCAAGGAAAGTGCAGGTGGAAGAGATGGGGAGGGGCCCACACTTGCTCTGGCCCAGTGCCCCACAAAACTGTAATCCACCTCTGAATACCAAATCAACAGCCCCCTCCCCAACTCACTAACTTTCCCCATACATACCCTTCTACTCATTCTCTTACATATAGTATGTGATTTGCCCCTTGCGCGCCCCATCACCTTCCTTTTCTGTCCCATCTTTCCCCCCCTGCTACAGGTGATTCCCCAGCTCCACCCTTCCACATCCTTATTTGTATGGATTTGGTGTTCAATGCCCCTTCACTTGAATCCCAGCACTTTCCTGTGTGCCCAGTAACCTCCACCCATCCTAGTTCATTCTTTTTATTGCCTACCCATTTTCTCATTCTCCCACATGTTATCATCCCATCTTCTTCCACACATTCACATACCTCACAGGGCTAAACCTGGAGCAGTAAATTGTTTAAGGATGTGGGAATGATGTGCCATCCTAACTCAGTATTGTGTGTCACTTACTCCCCTTGGAAGAATCTGGTGCCATACCCCAATGGAGAACTGCTCTAAATACTGCTTACACTAGACATCTCGTGCTGAATGCACTGCTAGTATATATTAAACAATAAACTAATCTGATAAGAACAGTCATACTCGGTCAGACCAATGGTCCATCTAGCCCAGTATTCTGTCTTCCAGCAGTGGCCAATACCAGATTCTTCAGAGGCAATAAACAGAACAGGGCAATTTATCGAGTGATCCACCCCCTCTTGTCCAGTCCCAGCTTCTGCAGTCAGAAGTTTAGGGACACCTAGAACATGGGGCTGTGTCCCTGATCATCTTGCTAATAGCCATTGATGAACCTATCTTCCATGAACTTGTCTAATCCTTCACAACTTCCCCTGGCAACAGATTCCACAGGTTGACTGTGCATTGTACAAAGTACTTCCCTTTGTTTGTTTTAAACCTACTGCCTATTAATTTCATTGGGTGATCTCCTGGTTTTTGTGTTATTTACTCCTTCACATAATACTTCCTTATTCACTTTCTCCACACCATTCATGATTTTATAGACCTCTATCGTATCCCCCCTTTGTTGTCTCTTTACTAAAATGAACAGTCCCTCCTTTTTAATTTCTCCTTATATGGAAGCTGTTCCATCCCTTTAATCATTTTTGTTGCCTTTTGCTGTACTTTTTCCAATTCTAATATATCTTTTTGAGACAGGGTGACCAGAACTGTATGCAATATTCAAGGTGTGGGCATACCATGGATTTATATAGTTGCATTATGATATTGTCTGTCTTATTATCTAACCTTTCCCTAATGGGACCTATATTCTGTTGGCTTTTTTGACTGCTGCTGCACACTGAGCTGATGTTTTCAAAGAACTATCCATAGTGACTCCAAGATCTTTTTCTTGAGTAGTAATAGCAAATTTAGACCCATAGTTTTGTATGTATAGTTCGGATTATGTTTTTCAATGTTGATTCTTTACATTTCTCAACATTGAATTTCATCTGCCATTTTGTTGTCCAGTCACCCAGTTTTGTGAGATCCCTTTGTAACTCTTCACAGTCAGTTTTGGCCTTAACTATCTTGAGTAATTTTGTATCATTTGCAAACTTTGCCACCTCACTGTTTACCCCCTTTTCCAGATAAATTATTAATATTTTGAACAGCACTGGTCCCAGTGCAGAGCCTTGGAGGACCCTGCTATTTACTCCTTCCACTGTGAAAACTGACCATTTAGTCCTACCCTTTGTTTCCTATCTTTTAATTAGTTACTGAGCCATGAGAGGATCTTCCTTCTTATCCCATAACAGCTACTTTGTTTAAGAGCCTTTGGTGAGGGACCTTGTCAAAGACTTGCTGAAAGTCCAAATATACTATGTTCACTGGGTTACCCTTGCCCATGTTTGTTGACCCTTTCAAAGAATTCTAACAGATCGGTGAGGCACAATTTCCCTTTACAAAAGCCGTCTTGATTCTTTGCCCCCAACACATCATGTTCCTTTATGTGTCTAATAATTCTGTTATTTACTATAGTTTCAACCAATCCGCTTTGTACAGAAGTTAGTCTTACTGGCCTGCAATTGCCAGGATCACTTGTGGAGCCTTTTTTAAAAATTGGCATTACATTAGCTATCCACTAGTCATCTGTTACACAGGCTAATTTAAGCAATATATTACATACCACATTTCTGCAGTAGTTCTGCTATTTCATATTTGAGTTTCTTCAGAACTCTTTGGTGAATACCATCTGGTCTTGAGGACTTATTACTGTTTATCAATTTGTTCCCAAACCTCCTCTATTGACACGTCAAGCCAGGACAGTTCCTCGGATTTGTCACCTAAACATTCTCTGCAGTGAAGACCAATGCAAAGAATTCATGTAGCTTATCCACAATGGCCTTATCTTCCTTGAGTGTTCCTTAAGCACCAAAATTGTCCAGTGGGCTCACCGATTGTTTGGCAGGCTTCCTACTGCTGTACTTAAAAAAAAAATGGCACTGTTAATTTTTGTGTCTTTTCCTAGTTGCTCTTCAAATTATTTATTGGCCTGCCTAATTATACTTTTACACTTAACTTGCCAGAGTTAATGCTCCTTTCTAGTTTCCTCAGTAGGATTTGACTTCCAATTTTTAAATAACATCTGTTTGTGTCTGACTGCATCTTTTACTGCTGTTTAGCCATGGTGGCATTTTTTTCAGCTCTTCATTGTTTTCTTTTATTTGATGTACACACATAGTTTGAACCTCTATAATGGTGTTTTGAAAAAAATTTCCATGCGGCTTGCAAGCACTTCACTCTTGTGACTGTTCCTTTTAATTTTCCGCCTCAACCATAATCTCAGTAGTACAACTACCCCCGCTACAACACTAGTAGTAGTTCCAACATCGGACACTCCAAGTATAGGGAAGCGGAATATGGGAGAGAAAAAAAGGCCAACAGGAGGGGGAAGAGACCAGAGGGGACTGTGGCTGGAGATGCTGAAGGAAGGAGGAGAAAAGACAGCAGGGGAAGGAGGAGGAGGAGAAATCAAGGGAGAGAGATGCCATGCCAAGACACAGAGAAGAAAGTTCCCACCGCGCCAGGCCCGCCCACCAGACACACCTGCCTCCAGCACAGCTCCCTGCAGTCCCGTTATCAGGCAGCGGCTCCAGGGACGGGGCGGGCTACATCCCCCGACCTGAGACAGACACCGACAGGGAATGAGCCTTGCGGGGCCGGTCCCTCCGCTCCCTGCAGCACCGTGACCCGCCCCGCCCGGGCCAACACGCTCCCTCTGGCGGCTGGTGCCCGCGGAGCGCTGCCCCCCGCCGGCTCCCGGCTCCGGTGGAGCGAACACCGGCCATTCGCTGCCCCGCCCCGCGGCTCTGCCCGCAGCGCTCCTCGCCCGGACCCGGCCGCCTCCCGGGCGTGTCCTGCCCCGGCCCCTCCCCCCGCGGGGCGGAGCCCGCCCTGCGCTCACCCGGCCCGGAGCAGCGGGCGCTGCCGGCAAGGGGCTCTGGCCCCGGGGCTCACCGTGCGGGGCGGCCCCGCACCTCAGCCCGAGGCTGCCGCCCGGAGCTCTAACGGGGCGGCCCAAGCGGCAGAACGGAGCGGGGTGAGCGCCCCATGCCGCGCCGGGGGTCCGGAACCCTCCGCCCCACTGCGCACGCGCCGAACTGCAGGAGCGCCTGCGCAGCGGCCGCCCCGCAGCCCCTGGCGCGGCTGTTGCTGCCCGGAGTCCACCAAGCCGCGGGAGCGCCGCGGGCACGGCGGGTGGGGGTGCCGGCTGCGGGCGCGCAGAGAGTGGCGGGGGCCTGAAGCGGTGCTGGGTTTTTTGACATGTTATTTTTTGTTTAGCCTTCCCGGTGCTCGCATCAGCTGTGGGCATCGCTTCCCCCGGGGGCCCTCCCGCAGCCAGCCTCTCGGCTCTGTCCACATCCCTGTCTTGGTGACTGCAGCAGCCCCCCGCCCGGGAAAATACTCTTTGTGGGAGGTCTTTGATCAGCGGTCTTCTTAGTTTTACCCCAACTGGTACCTTGACTCCAAACTTTCTTTTCCTGCTCTACCACCCATCACAAGCTGCTGTCCTAGGGCACAGCCACGCACTCCCCCCTCCCCCCCTAAAAATGTACAGGCAGGGATAGTATTTGCCCACGATGAATGTTACTTCAAATTTCGGTTGTGTAGTCTCCCCCTCTTTAACCCCTGAGAAGCAGAGGAAGGGTCATTGGCCCCTGCATCCCTATTTAAGGTGGGCACTTTAGCACATACTTAAGTCCCAGTGAAGCCCCTGGGACTCCCACCCATGCTTAAAGTCAAACATATACTAAGCTGATTTCTTGAATCTAGACCTGATGAACTGATTAAACTATATTCTAGTGCCTTTCTTAATGCATATTCGAGGGGTGGATGTATATAAACTATAATTGCAAGGATGACTATAACCATCCATTAGTAAATTTCACCACAAAGATCACCATACTACAGAACTAGAACTTTAACCATTTTGTCCAAATATTGGGAAGTTGTTATATGTTTTCCTCAAGAATCATGTGTGTCCTTCCATCAGCATGATAAATGAACACAAATGTTGATTTCCCTTTTCATAGCAGAAACAAGTGGCCTTTCCACCACTGGTTTAGAAAACCTCACTCAAACTCACAGTAATCTCTCTTTGTCCATATTTAATGATACTTCAACCAAAGAAGTGGCATTCCTGGATGAAAAATAAAACCTTCAAAGAGGACCAGTTTTCATGACTGCATTTAGTCTCTCCCTTTCAAAAACTAGGGCCATTAACTGTTGCAGGGTAATATTTTCTAGTGACCCTAAACATTTGTATTTTCATTCTGTAAAAATGCAAACAGGATGCTGAAAACTACCCATGGCAACCAGAGACATTATTTTGTGCAACCCCGCTTCAAATCTAAGGTAGCCCAGAAGACGTATACAAATGCCTCACACTACAGAAATATATAGACTTTATATACAAAGTGTTTCATAAAAAAATATATATATACCATCCCTGCATACTGCAGCTAGATCCATACTTCAGCCTTAGGGGAAAGAACAAGTATTGTGAAGGAGGGCAGCTCAATGAGCTGGAGCAAGAGGACAGTAGAAAATATTTTCATCACAGGCACTGTCTCCATCCACAACCATTCATGGCAATTAGAACAACAAACCCACTAGTGATGAGCTGAAATAAACTCTAAAACAATGCATTTTTAGAGTATGAATGTGTAATATAAGCTTATAAGGAATTTTACTCCTAAAGTTTTCACCTTAAATCACTTTTTTTCAACTAGGTGGGCAACAGACTAGACAAGGGAGGGCATGAGAAGAAGACAGGAAAACTGGGGGCATTTTTACTTCATCTATCGCACCACTCACTGCAAAGAGTTCCTACAACCATGGGTAAAATAGCAGACACCACCTTGGAAGCCATCCTGCTCCCACGATCCCTCCCCATAATATAGCCAGCTACAGGAGCAGTTGGCATATACAATGTTGCCAGCAGAGGAAGCACAGGTGTGGCTTAAAAGGACATTTATCAATTACATGCTCTCATTAACATCCCTACCTACTTTTAAGATATCTAATAGGCCCTACATAATGGTACTAACTGCTTAGCTGAGTGATTTATGGGACACTATCAACTTGAAATAATGATTACAGCTAACAATTTTGTACTTACTGTAGTTACAAGTAACTCCCAAGATTTATAGGACTTAAAAATGATTGTTCACACTTGTTTAGTTTACACAAAGTGTTGTCAAATGCCCAAAGTAGAGAGAGTCAGGTTCACTGTTTTTGTGAACAACATTCTCAGAAATTTGAAAAAAAATGGGTGGTTAGCAGTAACAGCAGAAGCAGAGCTGAAATGAAAAAAAGAGAACAATCAGCACACAAGTGAAGTAAAAGGATACAGGAGGAGAGGTGTTCCTCTTAGGCCAACCCAAAAGACCCTTCTGGGACCGCCCCCCAACACATAGCAAACCAGAAACCACATTTAAAACATGTTAAAAAACTTTAAAAGGCATGCTATTTTAAGGGTTCAGTAGCTGAAAATTTGGCAAGGGGGGCTAATTAGTCAGTTTAGAAAAGAAAATTAAGTTGACACCATCCCTTTAAAAGTGCCCTAGAATTTCTAATAAAGACAGATACTGCTTAGCATATTGCATCTTCTAGAGTGAGGAACCTTAAATCTAAATATTAACAGTGTAAAAATCAGGAGTATTCTCCTTATTTTTATTAGCATTTTCTGATTTTAAACTTTCTGACATTTCTTACTGTAATGCAGTGGCTGGGAAGAGGAAAGGCTCTCCACCTAGCCACAAGTGGCACAAATCCATACAGGCAACCCACCATATTCATATGCACTATCACAGTGAGCCATACAACACTCTCTCCGTTTATCAATATACATATATAGGACATGGGTTATGTAAGCACATCAAAGATCAATAAATCCATAGGCAAGTGCATGCATAAAGGATGCAACTGAATTAATTATCCAGTTTAATAAAGTCCTGGATTTTTACAAACAACATGATCCCTCTCTTCAAAATAAAGATACTTCATTAGAAAACATGACAGAATAAACAGGGAGAAGGTACGGATGGGCCAGCTCTGATTAAACGAACTGTGCAGTCCTTGCAAAGGCAAAAAAAGACATATCTCCAAATCAAGTGCTGGAGAGCAGTCACAATCAGTTCAGAGTCCAGGACTCCAGAAGGGCTCCATTTAACCCATCAGTCCTAGAAAAAAGCTCAACTCGATGCACCCACAGAAAAGTCCAGCTAGTTATGACAATGCCCTGTACCTTCCAGAAACTTCACTTCCGTATATATATCCTTTGACTTCACTGACCTCATTATTTAATGGAAATGGAGCTTTTTCCTCTTGTAACTCCAGAGGACAGGTGCAGTGCCAGTCAACAAAGACTACTTGTGGAGATCATGGAGTTCCTCATGAGGCAATGTTTTCTTATTAGAGTTATGCTGGCCGTCGTTGGAGAAGGGGGCTGTGGACTGTGGACTGACCTGTGTGTGTAGGTTGGGGTAGTTTCTCTAGCAGTCTTGAGCAGGTCTCGTTCAGGTAACAGGAAACAACGGTGACCACAACCATGGAGCCCTAAATACTACGATTTGTCCACTTTATGTGTGCGCTCATGCTTCCTTAGAGTGGCAGACACTGTGAAGCAACGACCACAGTAAGCACAAGAATAGGGTTTTTCTCCAGTATGGGTCCGCTGATGGCACTGTAGTGTCACCAGCTGTGTAAAAGTCCTTCCACATTCCTCACAGTAGAAAGGGCGCTCTCCAGAGTGAATCTGCTGGTGCCTTTTCAACTTGAGCCGCTCAACAAAGGACTTCCCACATTCTTGACATTTATGTGGTTTGTCCTGTCGGTGGATCACCTTGTGTCTGGACAGCAAATTAGGTTTACGGAAACCTTTGCCACATGTCGAGCAGATGTAAGGTTTAGACTCTTCTCCCACGGGCTTTTTATTTTCTGAACACTGCTGGTCAGCGTCCCCACTGCCATGCTTGTTTTGGTGCAATGTTGACCATGGGTTCCTAACCATGCCATTTCCCAAAACACCCTTGGAGCGCTCAATCTTGTGCACATTGCGTAGGTGCCTCCAAATATCAGCTGTACAGATGAAACCCTTGTCACACTCTGGACACTTGTGTGGTCTGTCACTAGAATGAATGAGCTTGTGCATTCGCAAGTTCGCCGCATGGAAGAACTCTTTGCCACAGATGGGGCATCGGTATGAATTCTCTGTCAGGTGGATCTGGTTGTGTTCTTGTAATTCACCCAGATCCTGAAAAGAGACACCACACTTCTTGCACGTATAAGGCAAAGCTTCTCCAGAGATGGGCTCCAGGTCCTCCTCATCAAAAGCATCAACAAGAATGATGTTTTCATCATCCTCACTTAATCCTCCCTGAGGTTCCTCAGAGGAATAGAACTCCAGATCCTCATCTTCACATTGCAGGTCAAAGTTGGTGTTGGAAGTGACAAAGACCCCAGCTGTAGTCTCACCTTGCTTCTGGTAGTAGGTCTCATAGGTTTCCTCGTCTTCACACTGCAATTCTACAGGGAGTTCTTGCCTACCTGAAGGTCCAGCAGCGCTACAACCAGGACTGCATGGTTGAGAATAGTCTAAGTCTAACTCCAGCTGGAGACTAGATTTGCGACCAACCCGCTCAGAGGAATGACTGGAGTCATCTGAATGCTCCTCACCTGTGTCATAAGTGTCATTATCGGACTCCCAAACCACCTTCACCTCCATCATGTGGTTTCTTACACGGGGCTTATATATGGCTTATTGTGGATGTAAGTATACCATGTTCTTATAGTCCTTCATGACTGGCTCATCTCATTCTCAACTCCAATCTCTGCCCTCCCTAAAAAAAACAGGAGATGATTTCATTAGCCAATTTGCCAAAATTCACATTAAGTAAAGCTAACAACCACAAGAGATTTTTTCTGGTGAACAGAATACCACTGAGACTTTGTACATTAGTTTCACTGTAGGGGACACTGGTTAGTTTATTATGATTATCTAATGAAACATTTCTATATCTCCATAAAGTTAAATCCTCTATTTTAATTGGATCTTTTTGGCAAATTTGAATAATTAATGTAACAACCTCTGGCTTATCTAGTCTTAAAAAAAAACATTAAGAATTTCTACAATTTCTGTTTTAGAATTTAATAATGTGGATGCATCCACTTCACATATTTGGTGATCAGAGATTTGGTTTTGAGTTTTCCCTTGTTTTGTAATATGATTTAGAAACTATTCCCACACTTCTTTGAACTCTTCTACATCTATTTTACTCTTCTCCACAATATATGTTGTCATAAGATGCGGCTTGATAGATCTCAGATCTATTCCTCCTGACAAACTTTGTTCCTGACGATCTTTACCCCACAAATAAACTAAATGAAATCCACCTGATCTTTTCATAATAAATGTTCCATAGTGACAAGCAGCCTGCCAGGATAATATAAGAGAAGTTGCAAGAACATTTTTATTTTTGTTGTTGTTGTTCTTGGGCAATTCCAAAACATTCTATACTCTTATTTTCTTTCAGCTTTTCTAGAACACATCATCATTTCTCACTCCTAGCCAGTGCAAGTCATACTAGGATCTAGTATACTTTATTAAATATTTTAAATTGTATTCATTCAATATTTAAATCCCTACCAGCCACTTTGATTCTTTTACATTATTTGACCTATTTCTTTTCCAGCCATCTAAAGTTTCCACATCAGACAGCCCTAACCCATCCTGAGCGAACAATGAACATCTTTCTTCCTTTAAACATGGGCTGGATTGAGATATTCAAACTCATTCAAGTGAAGGTCTTAGACTTAACTCTCACCACACTTGGTTTTGTCAGACGTTTCATATTAAGTGATCTCTTTGCATTGCTAAAGATATTTAATTTTGTATGAGTGAACACCAGACTCTTTCTTTCTGACACTGACAACATCAGGCACACCAAACAGCCAACCATATAGCAGTAAGCAGCCATGTGTGGGGTGAGGGCCGAAAGAAACTGCAGAAGCTCATGTTGTTCACTCTCACATCACCAGGAACAAGAAAGCATTGTGATTTCTTTAGCCACCTCCAGCCTGTCATCATAACTTGCGTTATTGTGAAGCTCTCCAGGATCTTCCACACTCTTGGGTAACCTCCAGCTGATGCCACAGAGAGAAAACATTTTGGAGAAATAAGTAGGCAAGAAAAGGATTCTGAACTATCCCCAGAGTCAGGTAAAATTACAGTAGACGGCCAAGCTGCAAATAGCAAGAAAGATTTTTCAAAGAAAGCTAGCAGAGTGAGGAGGGGACAGTTATAAGGAACAAATCCAGTTCTTAGGTTGAGGAGTTTCTACAATTCTGATCTTTTTGATCAAAAATATGGGGTTATTTTATCAATATTTTCCTTTCAAGACGATATCCGTTGATGCTGCAGTGTCAGGCCACTTTGATTACCCTTCCCACAACAGCAGTACAAAGTACTAACACTGGCACCATTTGTCAAGAATCAAGCAGCGTGACAGAATTTAGATTAATTCCGGCTCTCTTTCTAATGTTGACCGGCTGATAACAGCATCTTGAGAAATAATCCCTACTGCACTGGTTAATTGGGATTTTATTTCCTGAGGGCTAAAATAAATGCTAAATCTCAGAGAGTGAGCCAAGATTAATCCAGTAACCAAGATAAATGTTTCACCGTTGCCAATCTATAAAAGAAAGTTTGCAGCTAAACCTATGTGCATCATAAACACAGCTGAGAATCCTTTAGCACTGGCCCAAATGAAATAGCTTAATACTCTCTGAAGAAACTCCCTTTACAAATAATTTTCATTGGCAGTGGGTACGGCCTGTCTGAACTGGCCAAAAATCAATCTCCCTGATCCATATAAGCTTCTTGTAAGGAATGCACTCACTTTATGCCACATCAAAGTGTAGTTTTGAAGGACATTTTCCAGACCTCCCCCAGCAAGTTCCAGCACCTATCCCACTCCCTCTGCAGTTTCTTTTATTTTCCTGACATTTCCCTCCCACCCCATTAACTTTTTAGTCACCCTGAGACTAAGCTCCTCTCAAATTGCCAGTATAGCCCAGCAAGTGCATCTATACTATTATCCCAGCTGCCCTTGGCCTGTGAAACTAGCTCTTTTCACATTCCTCTTTTCCTTTGCTCTCCTCTCCTTTTCTCCTCCCTTTATTCCCCAACTCTCTCTCCAGTTCCTCTTGATCAACTTTGTTCAGGTTCCACTCAAAATCATTAAGGTTTCTCTGGCTGCAAGTGATTGTGATCTTACACATAAATATCAAGCCCAGGCCAGTCTCATTAATTTCACTTGGTGTTTTTCATATCTCAAGATAACTTAGTAATGTATTTAGGTTGAATGCCTTACCTTACACAAGTCTTAAGAAAGACTTGTTTTATTCACTAAACAAACTGACCTTTGTTACTATCTTTCTAATGAAATATTAAATCTCTTCAACTCTTCATTAGTCATAGCCTGGGAAACAAGGGGGTAATTTAAGCGGGGCCAGGCTTTCACCCAAGGTCTTTATCCAGAATGATCACAAAAATAATAAACCAAAACACATGCACTCCTTCTCAGTATACAGAATATATATTTATTCCAGCAGAGAAAAAAAGAAAAAAGTTATGCCCTAATAATTCTACCTATACAGTACTGCAACAAATCCCTCTAACTACAATATGAGCTCAAATATGCACTCCAGATGCACATAGAGGGGGGCAGTCTTGGTTGACACTATACTTTCCAACAGATAACTACAAAATCAACAGCCTCTCAACTCACTGACCCTTCCCATAATACCCATCATCTCCTCATTCTCTTGCATATAATATGTGATTTGCCCCTGGGTTGCCCTTTCACCTTCCTTTTCTGTTCCATCTTTGTCCCCCTATTTCAGGTGATTCCCCAGCTCCACCCTTACACATCATTATTTGTATGTATTTGGTGTTAAATTGACCCTTCACTTGAACCCCAGCGTGCACCTACTAACCTCCAGCCATCACCCACCTATCAATTGCACAAATACAAAATGGGATATGACTGCCTAGGAGGAATTACTGCCAAAAAACACACACACACACCCCCCATCACGATCTGGCGATTATAGTGGATCAAAAATTAAATACGAGTTAACAAAAATACTGTTGCAAAAAAGGCAAAAATCATTCTGGGAAGTATTAGCAAGAGTGTTGTAAGCAAGACATGAAAAGTAATTCTTCAGCTCTGCTCAGCACTGATAAGGCCTCAACAGGAGCATTGTGTCCAGTTCTGAGCACCACACTTCAGGAAAGATGTGGACAAACTGGAGAAAGTTCAAAAGACAGCAACAAAAATGATTAAAGGGCTAGAAAACATGACCTCCAAGAAAAGATTTAAAAAACTGGGTTTGTTTAATCTGGAGAGAGAAGACTGGGGAGGGGGGGGAAACATAACAGTCTTGAAGAACGTAAAAGGTTGTTATAAAAAAGAGGGTGATAAACTGTTCTCCTTATCCGCTCAAGACAGGACAAGGAATGGGATTAAACTGCAGCAAGGGAGACTGAGTTTAGACATTAGGAAAAATGTCTTGCTAGGGTAGTTAAGCACTGGAACAAATTACCTAGGCATGTTGTGGAATCTCTGTCACTGAAAGTTTTTAAGAAAAAGTTGGACAAACACATGTAAGTGATGGTCCAGATAATACTTAGTCCTGCCTCAGCACAGGGACTGGACTAGATGACATAGTGGGATCCCTTCCAGTCCTACATTTCTATGATTATATTTCATTCTTTTTATTGCCTACACATTTTCTCATTCTACCATGTATGTTATCATCCCATCTTCTGTTGTCATACCCACATACATCACAGGATAAAACCTGAAGCAGTAAATTGTTTCAAGATGTGCACTGCACACACTATCCTAACTCAGTAATGTGTATCTCTTACTCCCCTTGAAAGAATCTGATGCCATGTCCCAGCAGTGAATTGCTCTAAATACTAACACTAGACACATCATACTGGATGCACTACAAGCATATATTACAGAGTAAACTAATCCCAACCATAATCTCAGTAGTACAACTACCCCCGCTACAACACTAGTAGTAAGTTCCAACATCGGACACTCCAAGTATAGGGAAGCGGAATATGGGAGAGAAAAAAAGGCCAACAGGAGGGGGAAGAGACCAGAGGGGACTGTGGCTGGAGATGCTGAAGGAAGGAGGAGAAAAGACAGCAGGGGAAGGAGGAGGAGGAGAAATCAAGGGAGAGAGATGCCATGCCAAGACACAGAGAAGAAAGTTCCCACCGCGCCAGGCCCGCCCACCAGACACACCTGCCTCCAGCACAGCTCCCTGCAGTCCCGTTATCAGGCAGCGGCTCCAGGGACGGGGCGGGCTACATCCCCCGACCTGAGACAGACACCGACAGGGAATGAGCCTTGCGGGGCCGGTCCCTCCGCTCCCTGCAGCACCGTGACCCGCCCCGCCCGGGCCAACACGCTCCCTCTGGCGGCTGGTGCCCGCGGAGCGCTGCCCCCCGCCGGCTCCCGGCTCCGGTGGAGCGAACACCGGCCATTCGCTGCCCCGCCCCGCGGCTCTGCCCGCAGCGCTCCTCGCCCGGACCCGGCCGCCTCCCGGGCGTGTCCTCGCGCTCAGCCGGCCGGCTGCGGCCCAGGCGGGGGAGCGGAGTGGGGGGAGCCCCCCCGGTACCACGCCGGGAGTGGCAGGACCTCCAGCCACACAAACTCACCCTTCGCCTTAGTGCGCAGGCGCTTAACTGCAGCAGCGCATGCGCATTGTCGGTACCGAAGCCGGTTGCGCGCCTGCTGATGCCCAGGGTTCAAGCAGCTCTGGGGCTGGGCGTGGGGGTGGCGCCCCCGGGCGGGCGGGCGGAGAGACGTGCCCGCGGATGGGTGGGGGCGGGCGGTGAACGGAGGGGCGGAGCCCGGAGGCAGGTGGGGGTATGCACAGAAGGGGGGCCCCTGTCGCTGCTGGACAGAGAGATCTGGTGTCCGGTTTTTTCACTTGCTAATTAGCTTTAGCCTCCTCAGGGCTCGCAGCAGCCGTGGGCATCGCTTCCAGCCTGCGGCCCTCACCCTCTGCCAGCCTCTCGTCTCTTCCCACATCACTGTCTTCTGGACTGCATCCGCTGGCTGGCTCAACTCAGGGCGGCTCTACCTTTTTTGCCGCCCCAAGCAGCGAAGCAAAAAACAAAACGAAAAAAAACAAAAAACGGCCGCCGAAGAAAAATAAAGCGAAGGGCCGCCGACGAAGGAGCGCCGCCGCCGCCCCAAGAACGGCCGAAGTGCCGCCCCTTCTGACTTGCCGGCCCGGCTCCAGCTTACTTGGCTGGTGCCTAGAGCCGGCCCTGGGCTGAACAAGAGCTTCCTGCGAGTTAGTGCTCCACAGACAAGCCCCCCCGACCTGCGAAAATATTTTTAGATCCTTGATCAGCGGTCTTCTTAGTTTTACACCAAGCGGCACCATGACGCCAAACTTTCTTTTCCTACTCTACCACCAATCACAAGCTGCTGTCCTAGGTCGCAGCCGCGCACTCTTCCCCCTCTACCCTCAGACTGAAAAAATGTAGTCAGGGATAGTGTTTGCCCAGTATGAATGTTACTTCAAAATTTGGCTATGTAGTCTCCCTCTCCTTAACCTCTGGAAATCAGAGGAAAGGTCACTGGCCCCTGTTTTATCCCTCTTCCCTTGGGTGATGTCTGCCCTCTCTAGCTAAGATCCCACTGAAGTCAACAAGACTCTGACTCATGCATAGCCAAGCATGTACTACTTTCTTGAAACAAGGCCTCAATACACTGATGAAACTATATTCTAGTGCCTTTCTTAATGCATGTTAATGAGAGGTTGGTGTGTATAAACACCAATTCCTAGACGTTCCTTTGGTCTGACCCAGTATAGCCATTCTCTCAATTGTGAGGATTACTATAACAGACAGCTATGACAGGACAGGTTTCTATTTGTAAATTTCACCAAATTTCACCACAAAAGTTGCCACACTACACAGCTAGAACTTTCACCATTTTGTCCAAATGGAAATTAATATTGGGAAGTACCATAGTTACAGGTTTCCCTGAAGAATCATGTGTTTCCTTCCATCAGCATGATAAATACACAGATGGTGATTTCTCTTCTCATAACAGAAACAGGTGGCCTTTCCATCACTGGTGGATGACCATTTGTAGGGAAACCTACCAAAAACCTCACAATTCTTCTTTATCCAGATTTAATAATTCCACTTCAACGAAAGTCATTTCCACTTTATGAAAACTGATCTCTTTGAAGAGCTTATATATTTTCATCCATGGCACATTAATACAGTTGCTATCCATTTAGATCAAGAGCAGAAGTCCTGAGCTTTCACATAAAGATGAATTTCTTGCTTCAACCCCACCACTTCTCTCCCTCCCCTCAGCATGCTGCACGATATTTATTGACAAAATGAGTGAGTGCTTGAACTCTTTTAGACAGTAATGCTATCGAGTCAAAACAATTCAGGTTGTACGATTCTGGGTAAGAAAATCACATGCTGATGTCTGTATTCAACTCTAGTGCCTACTTTCTCATCAGAAGATTACTCTAGTAACTGGAAGAAAGGTCACAAACTGATTTTCCTCACCCGTTTCCCCCAAGCAGTCTAGATACTGTGAACAAAGTTGATGCAAACACTTTCCTTCAGTCAGCCTCGTGCTAAAGACAGGATCACAAATCAATTCAGGCATTTAGATCTGACTGCATATAGTCTCCTCCTTGCAGGGCCATTAACTGTTGCAGGGGAATATTTTCTGATAGCCGTAAACATTTGTATTTCCATTCTGTAAAAATGCAAACAGAATGCTGAGAACTCCTCATGGCAAACAGACTTTCAAAAAGTTAGGAGGCATTATTTCATGTGACCCCTCTGCAAAGCTAAGGGAACCAAGTGGATATACACAGATGCCTCACTGTAGCAACACAGACACACAACTTGTATATAAAGAATGGTCTTAAATTTAAAAAATACCATCCCTGGATACTGCAGCTAGGTCTAAGATTCACGTTTCAGCCTAGCCTAGGGGCAGAGCAAGTATTGCAAAGGATGGTAGGTATATCAGCTGGAGCAAGAGGACAGTAGAAAATAATTTTTCATGTCTGTCTCCATCTACATCCACAACCATTCATGGCAAGTAGAACAACGAACCCACTAGTCGTGAGCTTGAGTCAACTCTAAAACAATGCATTTAAGGAATATGAGAATACCAGTGTGTGTAATATACGCTTATAAAGGAAGTTTAGGGATAAAGTGTTCATCTTAAGTAAGTGTTTTGTAACCAGATGTGCAACAGACTAAATGAAGGAGGGTTTGGGAACAAGAGAGGAGTAGGGGGGTGTTTTCACTTCATCATTCAGATCAATCCCACTGCTAGAAGAGCTCCTACAGCCATGGGTAATGCAGCAGGAAACTTCTTGAAGGGCACCTGCCTTATCACCATGCTCCCACAGTTCCCATTATACAGAGAGCTACAGGAGCAGTAGGCATATCCAATGTTGGAAGCAGAGGCAGCAACAGGAAGGTCAGGTGAGGCTTAAGGAGACTTTTACCAGTTACAAGCTCCCTCATTCAAGTCCCTACCTACTATTATGTTATATAAAAGGCCTTACATAATGGTACCAATGGCTAGCCGAGTGATTGAGGAGGCACTATCAACTTGAAATTACAAAACTGTTGTATGTAATCGTTCTTACTATAGTTACGAGTAACCCCCAAAATTACTATGACTGAAAAGAGATGGTTCACACTTTTTTTGTTTATTTATCTGTGCATTTGACAACATGTAGTGAACCTGATCTTATGCAGTTTTTGTGAACAACATTCTCAGACCTTTGAAAAAAAATGGGTGTTTAGCAGTAACAGCAGAAGCAGAGCCAAAATGAAAAGTGAACAGTCAGCAAACAGGTGTACACATATACAATGAAAGAGCATGCAGAAGGAGAGGTGTTCCTCTTAGGCCAACCGAAAAGACCCTTCTCAAAAAACAAGGTGGGGGAAAAAGCCAGAAGCCATCACATTTTTAAAAAAGAATGTTTTAAATATTCAAAGGCATGCTATTTTAAGGGTTCAGTAGCGCAAAATTGAGGATTTTTAATTAGCCTGTTCAAAAAAGAAAATTAAATTGCCAGGATCCCCTAAAAAGTGCCCCAGAATTTGTGATAAGGACAGATGCTACTTACCATATTGGATCTTCTAGAGTCAGAGCTAGAATCAGGAACCTTTAATCCAAGTACTAAACAGTGTAAAAAACAGCACTATTTTCCTTAATTTTTTTTTAATTAGCATTTTTGTGATTTTAAATTCTAAAACATTTGTTACTGTAACACAATAGCTGGGCAGGGTAAAGCCTCTCCACCTAGACACAAGTGGCACAGATCCATAGAGACAACCCACTGTTCCCATATGCATCATCACAGTGAGCCATCCAACCCTCTCTCCATGCACCAATATACATACAGGTGACATGGGTTATGTAAGCACATGAAGGATCAGTATATCCATAAGCAAGTGTGTGCGCAAAGGGTGCAACTGTTAATTAAGTTTCCAGTGTATTAAAGTCCTGGATATTATTTTGCAACTGACATGATCCTTCTCTTTCAAATAAAGGTACTTTACTAAAAACCATGAAAGAATGCACAGAGGTGTGGATGGGCTACAGCTGACTAAGAACTGTGCAGTCCTGGCAATGGCCTGCAATGACAGATCTCCAAATCCACTGCTGGAGAGCAGTCACTTTCTAGACAGTAGTACCCATCAGTTCAGGGTCAGGACTGCACCAAAGCTCTATTTAACACATCAATCTTTGGGAAAAACTCAATCTGACACACCCCAAAAGAAATCCAGCTACTTATGACAATGTCCAGCACCTCCAAAGGGCTTCACTCTCCACATTTGTCCTACAGCTTCTCTAACCTCTTTCTTCAGTGGCACAGCAGCTTTTTCCTCTTCACTTATGTCTTTACTTGTAGAGATCATGGAGTTCCTCCTGAGACTCTGCTTCCTTATTAGAGTCATATTGGCAATATTTGGGGAAGGTAGCTGTGGAATGACCTATGTTCATAGAGTATGGAGGTTTCTTAAGAAGCATGGACAGGTTTCACTCAGATAAGAAGGGAAACAAAACAACCACTACAGCAGGTGAGGTACTATAAACTCTAAGACGTCTTCACTTGGTGAGTGCGCTCATGTCTCCTCAAGGAGCCTGACTCCGTGAAGTCTTGAGCACAGTAAGAGCAAGAGTAGGGTTTTTCTCCAGTATGGATCCGCTGATGACGCTGTAGTGATGCCAGCCGCGTGAAGGTTCCGCCACACTCCTCACAGTAGAAAGGGCGCTCTCCAGAGTGAGTTTGCTGATGCCTTTTCAACCTGAGCAGCTGGATAAAGGACTTTCCACATTCTTGACATTGATATGGTTTGTCCTGTCGGTGGATCACCTTGTGTTTGGACAGCAAATTAGGTTTATGGAAACCTTTGCCACATGTTGGACAGATGTAAGGTTTAGGCTGTTCTCCTCCAGGCTTTTGGTCATCTGAACACTGCTGATAGGTATCTCCGCCACCATTTTGGTTCTGGTGCACTGAAGACCATGGGTTCCTAACCATACCATTTCCCAACATTTTTGAACGTTCAATCTTGTGGACATTGCGTAGGTGCCTCCAGACATCAGCTGTGCGGATGAACCCCTTGTCACACTCCGGACACTTGTGTGGTCTG